TTTCTCCCCTTACCACGAATAAATGATATTTTTTACGACATACGTGCAATGTTCGAGTCTATTCAATCTTACTTCAGTGACATCTCTTTGCAGATTTTGAACCACTGGAAATTAAGCACTGGTCGATGTGAATGAACGAAAAGTCCTCGTCGGGCAAGCAATTTGCTTATAGCCCAAAAGCAAGCACTACATTCACGGTATTTGATACAGCGCATGGTGATCATGTACTGCTCATGTTACTATTGATTCTTATCCGAAAGGGTTCGCAGAAGTACTCACAGATGGTAGGTTTAATCCTTCGTTTACTGAGCAAGCGCAAAATCAGACGGTTTGACATAATCACGAAGAGCGACTCAGTTAAACGATAATTTTCGCTCCGTGAACTGCAATGAACGTCAACGAAGGTAGAACATATCTCGAAAAAGTAGCAGAAAGTTCGCATCACGATATTCTACTAAAAATAATAAATAAGCGCGTCAAGTGAAATACAATATAATATAGTATAAAACTTACACTTTCAATAATTTTCAAAATTAATTATAATTAAATTAGTATCGGTAAAATAATGAATTAATGAAATCCTTATATTATAAAAAATACGTTATTTCATATAAAATATTATTATTTATCTTGATAACAGTGATTCGATCGTTTTCAATATTTTTCTTATTTTCAATTTTAACTAATCATATTATTTTATATTACAATTTATTTTTTATTTTTTATCATTACAAAGATATTTCTTCTCTTGACTATATATCCTGTTTGTTACTTAATGTGCTGTTCATGAAATAATTCTTTCACTTACAGAAATTTAATGTGGTAATTTGGCTAGTGATTAATTACTTATTTTGAGTATTAAAAGCACTGTTTTTAATGCTTTTAATACTGAAAATAAGTAATTAATCACTAGCCCAATAATCACTTATAGTATTAAATTGCTCTAAGGGTTAATAAGGAACGTTCAACATTATAGATATATATAGTAATTTAATTTACATAATTAACTGTTACATACAAATAAAAACAAAATTCACTTTTAAGAAATTGTCGCAAAAATCCGCATTAATTTTTTGCCAGGTGTCTATACATCTGTCATAAAAGTTCGGAACTTCGTGTTTCCGAGAACACAAAAGTTTCCGAGAATAGATACGAAACTTTCTATGCTAACAAAACCTTCCTTTTTCGACGTATAGATTGATCCAAAGTGTTTTTGAGTGGCAAAGTTGAACATGGTGCATAAAACTAAACGGTTAATTCTGCTGATGTGTGCACGAATCGTTTTTATATTTCTCCGTTACAAACAAAGAGTTTATCTAAAACTTTAATTCTTAGAAAACCGAAGTACGATTAAAATAGCAAGCGATTTCATTAGAATAATAATACAAAATCTTACAAAAAATAAAAAATCTTTAAAAAAAAATCTTAAATGTTATTACTAAGAACACTTTAAATTTTTAGTTTAGTTTTAGTAAAATATTCTTTTTTTGCTTCTACTATTCATCTGTTTTTGATATTTTCCCTTAACAATTCAAATTAGTTGTAACTTATAATATTCCATGACAATATGTAAGGAATAACACAAGTGAAATTTACTATGTGTGCTACTTACAATTAGAGATACCTTTAACTACGAAACAGTCTTGAAATAAAACGCGAATTTTAATGTTATAAATAAATAAATGATTACTTCTAACAAAAAAGTAAAAAAAATTTCTGAAATAACGTAAAGAGATAATGTTTCTTCTAAATTAACAATAAGTAAAAATATTCTTTATAAAATTCTTTATAATATTCTTTATGATTAGATTTCAATTACGCCTTTGCGCTGAGTCGTCAATGTTTACGGATATTGGGCGTATGGCCCGACCCTTTTACGCCTATAAGTGATTTCCATCGGCCAAGCATAAGATTCATAATTGTTACGTGTATCCTGTGTCTTTACGTGATCGTGCCGCAATTGACGAATATGATTCTTGCCTGGGGTAATGTGGCTCGGATGGTGGAATACGTTGCCTCCGCGAACTTCAGCTTGATGGCACTATGCAAATTAGTCGGTACTTGGTATCACGGTGAAAGTAAGTTATTATATCGATATTTTTATCGTGAGAAATATAAATGTAAGGATTCGTTATTTAATTTTAACATCAATATTGTACAACAGTTTTATTCATGTAAAAACGGTCTCGATCATTCATACTATTCATACTGATGTATCATGTTTAATCCGAAAGCGCTTCGAACGTTGATGACATCGGTCATGACCGATTGGATGACTTCGAAGAACGATCGGGAACGAAATACAATGTTAAATATCGCGAGACATGGCAGAACCTTATCTCTTAGATGCTACGTGGCCTCCTCGTGTACAGTCACGTTTGGCCTTTCTCTCAATCTGCTGAAGTTCTATCGAAATATGCACCAACCTCAACGGACTCTCGTGTATCGGTTTACCTATCCTTACAACATTCAAAAGAGTCCAAACTACGAAATTACGTTTTTCACTCAACTGTTCGGCGGTATGTACTCGGCCCTCATCAACTGTACTGTCGACAGTTTCGTCTCTTTACTCGTGCTGCACATAAGCGCACAGCTAATAAATCTACGAACGGCACTCAACGATCTGGTCGACAAACTAGCTAAAGGATTTATATCCTCCTCGAAATTTAAGGAAGGTTTAGCTGCGATCACTATCCGTCACGAACATCTCATCAGGTATGCCAACAAATTTCAAAGCAGGTTATTTAATATAGTGCAAAATATTTTTAACCATTTATAGCAATTTATTTATGCGATATCATCATTAATTAGTTATGATATTTTGAAATAAAATTTAATGTGTCTCTCTCTTTCATATTTATAAAAAAAAGTGTATACAATGTCTCATAGACAAAAAATATTTTTTTGATTAAAATATTTTTTTAAACATATAATATGAGTAAAAATTCTACAAATTTTAAAAAATTTTAAGACAGACTTAAATGTGGACAATAAAAAAGTGAGATATAAGTTTACTTTCAAAAATTGAGATCTTAAATTAAATCTTTTTTAAAATTTGTACATTAAAATAATTATAATTAATCAATAAATAATTAGAGTATATATGAAATACATGAATTTTTAAGGAACGCAAAGACAGTTGACGACTGCTATAGCGCTGTGTTATTTGTACACATGTTTGCCGCTACTTTTCAACTGTGTTTTGAAAGCTTTCAAGTTTTCATGGTAAGTAAGATATATTTGTTTTCTGTATAGTTTATGTTTATGCAACAGAAAAATTTAATACATGTTAAATTTTTTAATTTTAATTTTTAATTTAAATGTTTTTAATTTTTTAGTTTAATAATGATTTC